ACCCTCCTCCGGGCCAAACATTGTTTACTTTCACCTAAGCCCAGGCGGCAGCTTACCCTCCCGTAGCGTAGGCTATTTTTGGGAAGACTGCTAGAAACATTTGAATTATATTTTAAAAACATATATAGTTATCTTGTCTGTGTTATTTATTACGCCAAACTTCTAAAGGGTAGACATGCTAGGCCTGCCTAGGGTAAACGCGTGTATTTTAAAGGCCAGACACGGTCATTTTTAAACTTAAATAAATTTTTTACCGGAACAGTTGTCAGAGAGATTTTTTAGAGGATAATGCAGAAGTCAAATAGTAATAACATGGAGCGAATGGCATTGTTTCAAATTGTTTCAATTGCAAAAATTATTTATAGCCATGTAAACTTTACATGCCAGATTTTCTTAAGTTTTGGGTGAAAAACATGAAATAAATTCAAATACTCACACGTAAAATCAAGAGCCATGACATCGTACCTATGTTATACTACGGAACTGTTTACCATGTCTTCTTCGATAATATCATGAATATTCATTACGTTTTTTAATTTTAAACCTGTTGGTTGGTCATATACCCATATATCAAAAACCCATATATGGAGAATAATGAAATTATCGCTTCCGCGTTAGCGCCCCCAATTACGAGAATATCTAAAATCTATAATAGTGACCAACAGAGGGCTCACTACTTATTGTCTATATTGAAACCGCCGTGATTGATCCTTTGCTGTTTGCCATCAGAGAATCTCCTCAGGAGAGCCTTGGATTCTCCCCATTTGAACTCCTCTATGGGCGTAAAGTGCGGGGTCCAATATCCATTTTAAGAGAATTATGGACTGGGGAAGTTGAGACACCAGAGACAAAGTCTACCTATCAGTATGTTATGGATCTGAGGGAAAGATTAAGTGAAACATGCAAATTAGCAAAAGAAAACCTATTAAAGTCAAGGGGAAGGTATAAGCATTATTATGACAAGAAAAGCAGATCTCGTGAGTTTGAAGTAAGCGATAAGGTGTTAGTGTTGCTACCCACAGACAAGAATAAGCTGTTGCTTCAGTGGAAAGGACCATTTCCGGTTATATCCAAAGTAGGGTATTTAGACTACCGTATTGAGGTAAATGGTAAGCTATAATTATTTCATGCAAATCTCTTAAAGAAGTACCATGAGAGACCAGAAGTTAGTGCTGTAGTTGAGGACATACCCAAGACTTCCGATTGTGTCCTAAATTTGGCAGGTACAGCAGTAATTGAATGTGATTATGGAAATGATGTTGCACCTAAGTATCATATGTCTAATGAGAATCTTTTACAGCTTCATCCTTTGTTAGCTAAAGAAACCTCAGCTGATATTCATGTTGATGAGGGTCTTGATGAGTCGTACAAAACGGAAGTGAAACGACTGATAGGAAATTACCAGGATGTACTGACAGATCTACCAGGGAACACTGTACTAGGTCAACATGAAATTAAGTTAACGACCAATGAGCCTGTCCGAACTAAACCTTATCCATTACCGCATGCACTTCGAAGTACAGTGAAGGAGGAGGTAAGTATGATGTTTAATATGGGTGTGGTTGAACCATCTTGTGCTCCATTTGCTTCTCCGATAGTATTGGTTAAGAAGCCGGATGGGTCGAATAGGTTCTGTGTGGATTTCCGGAAAGTAAACCAGGTTACTGTGTTTGACGCCGAACCAATACCAGACCAAGATGAGTTATTTACTAACCTGGCCCAAGCCCATTATTTTACTAAGATAGACCTAAGTAAAGGGTATTGGCAGGTGCCAATGGAAGAGTCATCAAAGCCTTTGGCATCTTTTATAACTCCTGATGGGTTATACCAATTTAAGGTTATGCCATTTGGCTTGGTAAATGCTCCAGCTACTTTCAGCAGAAGCATGAGGAAATCACTTCAGGGAATGAATAATGTAATAAATTACATTGATGATATTTTGATTCACACAGTTACTTGGGAACAACACCTGAATGCTTTGAAAGAGTTGTTCCGACGACTGCGTAAAGCAAATTTGACAACTCGTCCAAGTAATTAATGCTACATTGGTTACGAAACAATTGAATTTCTTGGGCATGTTGTGGGGAAAGGTAGTGTTCGACCGAGACCTGAGAAGATCCAGAGCATTGTGTCAGCAAAGAGACCAGAAACAAAGAAACAACTAAGGTCGTTCCTAGGTATGACAAATTACTATAGGAAGTTTATTCCAAATTATTCTGTCATTGCTTGTCCATTAACAGAGAAAACTAAAAACAGGGAACCAAACCGAATTTGTTGGGAAAGCAGCCAAGAAAATGCATTCATTACTCTCAAGACAAAATTAACTAGCACTCCAATTCTTTGTCTTCCTAACTTAAGTAAAGCTTTTATCTTGAGGACAGATGCTTCGGAGAATGGTATAGGTGCTGAAGATAAGACGTTCCCAGTGGCATATGCGAGTAAAAAGCTTCTTTCTCGAGAGAAAGCGTATTCCGTGATGAAAAAGGAGTGTTTGGCTATTGTTTGGGGAATACAGAAATTTGAGACATATTTGTATGGAAGAGAATTTATTTTGGAAACAGACCACCAACCCCTTGTTTTCATGCAGAAAGCTAACCTGCTATTTATATTTTTTGTGGAGCTAATAAGCTCGGATACCAGGGAGAAGTCAACCCTGAGTTAATGTGAACGTCACTATAATTCAAAATTAGTGAATTTTGTGGAGCTAATAAGCCCAGATTGCAGGGAGGAACCCTGATTTATGCTGAACGTTATTGAAGGTAACTATAATCAAGAATTAGTAAATTTATGGAGCTCTTAATTTAACAAAAGAGTGCGTTCTTTTCCAAACAAATACATCCTGCCTAATATTGTGTGTTTAGATTAGATCTTTTAGTTTAACTTTGGAAATTGAGATCATTTTAGATACTATTTCTGTATAAACTACATTTTTTTTTTCATATTACTGTAAACCTAATGGGTTTTGATAAATTTATTCTGCACTACGGAATTTCCAATAAAAAAAAAGAAAATTAATTAAAAAGACCATAGATTAAAAATAAGTAATTAATTATAATAGTAATTCTAATATTAATAATTGACCGCAAATATAGTAATAATATCTAATAATATTAATAATTTTAAAAAATACTTAGAGCTACTTCCATACTCCCATAGGAGCTAAAAACTAATTTATTTTAGTTCTTAAATATGCATATTCTTTATGTTGATTTATTAATTAAATTTTTGCTACAGGGTATTTTACAGCATTTATTTATTTATTTATTATTATTTTTTTCTAGAATTTTATAATTGAGGGCCATTTTTTATTTCTTGATTTAATTCTTGCTTATAGAGTATTTAAATATTTGAAGATTAAAAAAAATATATGAAATTTCTATTACCGAATTTTTCATTGGGGCCATTTTTACCCACCTGTCATAGGGGAACATTTTTACCGGGGCCGTTTTTTCCGGGGCCATTTTTTCCGGGGTCATTTTTTCTGGGGCCATTCTTACCTACATTTAACTGTAAGTGACCATTTCCAGTGTAAAATTCTTATACAAACAATGCATCAATAATCAGAACAAAAGAATCAAGTATCTTATCTGAACATGGGTATGAGTGCTAATTAACAGCGAGGTCAAATCAGAGTCAATCAAGCGTGACGTCTAAAAGCGATATGAACATTCTTATGCAACACATATATTATGACGATTCTAAGTTAATTTTACTTCAATGTTAAGTAGAACAACCATAATATCTCATACATAAATACACAAGCAATCATATAATAAATGATAATGAATTGTTATCTTATTCGGCATGTCGTTCATATGATGGTTAATAATAACATGATAATCTGTCTTACAATAATAAAGCAAACAATCATGGCAGCTTCTACGATCCAACACACGTTCAAATTAAATCTTGTTATCAGACACAAATATCATCATTAACCAATGAATTAACAATACAGTATAATAAAACAAACTTACATTTATCACTACAACGTTAACAAAATTTCGGAATATGATTAAAGCAGAAATTTACGTCTATATTCCGGACAGCTCAACAAACACGACCACATGCGAGTCTCTCCATCTTAGCTGTATCTTATATGGTGGCGCTATTCAAATCACTTGGTGGCGCCTTACGAACATGATATTCTTATTAAATCTCACACTCCCCCATAATGAGGGAATCTCATTATATCAGCAAACCAATACCAACAAATAAACATCATAATGTACAAAATGAATTTAAAAAAACAATGATAATACATGATACAATAATAATACAGCATCATGCTACAAAGTATATTTTTTTTAATCTACTACTTTCTTCCATCTATTTACACTCTTCAAGCTTGATCAATTTTATGACCGGCTGTTTGTATATTTTACCCTTAACACTAATATCAGCTACTCTGATTCTGCCATCTATACTCGGGTAAACCTTAATTACTTGTCCCACAGTCCAATCTCCTCTCTGGGCTTGATAGTCAACAATCAGGACCTTGTCTCCATTCTCCAAATTATCGATTTCTTTTATCCATTTCTGCCTTATTTGCTGACTGGGTAAGTATTCTGATACAATTTTCTTCCAGAATAGAGATCAATTAAAAGTTGGCTATGTCTCCACTGTCTATTACTTCTGAACTGCTCTTTCGGGTGGATCGAAGCAAACGGCAAAGATGGATCGCGTCTACCCTTCAAAAACATGTTCGGAGTCACAGGTTGGTATCTGAAACGTCCAATCAGGCATAGCCTAAAGGTTTCGAATTCATAATACCGTCGACTTCAGTTATTACTGTCTGCAGCACGACTTCAGTTACGATTCTATCTTTAAGACAGCACTTAATGGCATTCTTAACTGACTTTATCTCTCTTTCCCAGATGCCACCAAAATGGGGTGCACTGGGAGGATTGAATTTAAATTCTACTTGCTGTTGTTCCAGCTTCAGTTGTACTTCCGCACTCATGGCTTTGGGACTCTCCCTCAGCTCTCGTCCAGCACTTTTAAAGTTGGTTCCTCAGTCAGAATATTGATCATGGGGAACTCCTCTTCGTGATATGAACCTTCTGAATGCCATAATGAAAGCATCTGCATCCATCGTTCTCATTAGTTCTAAATGTACAGCCTTTGTCGTCATACATTTGAATATAACGCCCCACCTTTTTTCTTGCGATCTTCGCACTTTAACCATCATCGGTCCCCAACAGTCCATTTCTGTAGAATAGAAAGGTGGCTTACCAATTCGAAGTCTAGCTTTAGGTAAATCTGCTATCTTTAGGATGCTGAATCCCTTCCTCCACCTTTGACATTCTGGACAATAATTCAAAAGTGACTTGATCTGGCTTCTGCCCTTCAAAATACAATAGTTTCTAAGTAAGTATGTAAAGACCTGACTGGGCCTCTCACTATGGCAAAACACATTGGCATCTACTCTTTTGATCAGCAACTTAGTGATGTGGTGCTTCGGGTCCAACACTATCGGATTGACATATAAGTTGATTTCTTGTAGATTTCTCAACCTGCCTCCCACTCTGATAAGTTTGTGCTCAGTTTCCAGTACAGAATCTAGGTTG